CACACTGCTAGTCTCACTCCACCTTCCTTGCCCTGGCACTTTTGGGACCTTTGCCCAATTTAACAAAATAAAACAACAGGAAATGACTCCACTTTTTGCATATTTTTGTGCCATTTTAGTGAATTACATCAGCTCAGGTAAAGGTCCAGCAAATACCAAAGACAGCATAGCAAGGGGCAGGAGTTTTTGGCTGGGAGACAGAAAAATCATGGTGGAACTGGGAAAGACCCCTTCAGAAGCAGAGAGCTATTACGTGTCTTGTGAAACCACACCCAGCTGAAAAATATCCGTTTTCTTTTTTTGAGCTGATTTCTACTGACTGAGCTAGCTCATTGAAGACAACATGGTTGCCAGACCCACACAAGAGAAGCAGCAAGAACACATACTAGGAGCTATGGAGGGAGGCTCTCCCTGTCAGCAAGTTCCTCTCAAGGAACTACACGACCAGGTATACTCTGCCTGGCCTCTTCATGTGCTGGGTGACAGAGCACTGGCACAGGTTGCCCAGAGAGGTTGTGCAGTCTCCATCCTTAGAGGTACTCAGAACCCAGCTGGGTAACCTGCTCCAGCTGACCCTGCAGGGAAGGTGCCTCCCAGTCTCAACCTTTTGTGACACTGTGATTTTGTCATCTGTAAGTCATCTGCAGATGTGATTTTTAGATCACCTGGTGAAAGTCTGGCACGTACACAAATGCCACCTGTGAGTCCCCATATTGCTACAACATAGTCCATAGCTTATTATGTAGGAAATGTATTATGGAGGAAATCGGCAGCAGCAGGCCACGCATTTCCTTTGTAAAAGAAGAAAAAGGAGTAAGGAAAGATTGCATAGTGATATTTCCTCATCTACATGAGATAAATTGAAGCACATTTCTCCTTTTCCTGCTCTGTGCTGTAATTGACACCTCACACTTTTGCAAGAGGAAAGAGAGATTCCACATCTCAGAGGGTCATTGTAAAAATATTAGCGTTCCCAAGAAGGACACCTGCTGAACGTGTTGCATTTTATAGGCTCAGCATTTGCTACCGTCTAACACATTTACACACTCTAAAATACTGTAGTTCAGAAAGATCAATTATATATAGATGGAAAATTGGGACATATCACAAATAGACATACAATACTAATGACAGAAAATTATGTAGCACATGGAGCAGGCAAATTATCAGGAATTGTGAAGTGGAACACACCAAAATAACATACCCATTATTATGTTAACTGATGTTAACACTAATTATGACGCATATTATCAGTTTTCAAACATGCAAGTTGGAACTGCCAAACTGTCATAAACCCTGTAATGCTTTTGGGTTTTTTAATTATTGGGTATTTGACTGATGCATGCTTCACAAATCCTCATGGCAGACTTTGAGGATTTTAAGTATATCCTAAAGGTTAATTTCAAGCAATTAAGACTGTGGTCACATGAGTAATTGAACCCTCTGATTATGTGAGATGTCTAGTTGGAAAAGAAAACATCAAGCTGTGAGCTGATAACATAATCCCTGAAAGTAATTTAGCCGCTCCCCATGAGTGGTAAATTTTCCCTGGATGAGACAGAGGTAAGTTTGTCTCACTTTCAGATGTTCCTGTGTGCTCCCTGTTCCTTCTTCAGCCCTCCAAACGAGCAGCTGGTTTGTTTGGAGGCAGCTGCCACCAAGCAATTTGCTCTGTGGCCAAGCCTCGCCATGCCTGAGCCCGTTAGCTCAGGCTCAGCTGTGGCTCTGAGACCTGACATCCTCAGCTGTAATGCCAAAGCAGTCTAAGCCAGTCCTAGACTAGAACCAGTCAGTGTGGTGGCCACTTTGGCTTTGTCTTTCATGTCAGTCACCCTGGCCATGTGCTGGCATGTTCTCTGCAGCATGCTGTGCTGACTGCTCTCATCTGACTTGATGTAGAGCCACTGGAGTGGTCCCGCAGAAAACTAACTCAGCCGAAAAGCCCCTTGTGTAAAAGGAATAAGCTTTCAATTCTCAAATCACAGGCTGCATCATACGGGACATTCTCAGCATCAGATGCAGATAGAGGAGGGACTGAACAAAAAGTACAGGAGAAGTAGGAGCATGGAGGAAAAGTAGAAGACCAGACTTTGAACGCTGTAAAGAAAATAGGGTTTAGGGAGACTGGGACAGGAAACAAGGGGAGAGGTGACCTGAGCTGGCTGGACAACAAACAGGAATTTTCTTCGGCAAAGTCTGAAAGAGCTGGGAGGGAGAGACTGGTGCCTAGTGGAGGCAGGGAATACAGCTAGGAGGAGGGAGCAGGACAGGAGAATTAGGATCCATTGGGTGAGGCAAATGGGACTGCAAACACTGAGTTGGAGCCTGGAGAGGAAAAGTTGTACTTCTTGCGTGATGCTGAGGAGTAGAGATTAGAACTGGCTGGATGTGGTAAGTGGGGCTGTAACAAGCACACGGGGATGGGGCAAAGACGGACTGGGAGGACATTAATGGAAGAAGATGATGGCTGGGGAGGGAGGGGTGAAAGAATTTGTGCTCCGTGGAGGATACTCCTCTTCTGCAGTGAAATTGAGCCAAGAGTTCCCATCTCACCTTTTCTCTAGTGTCAGCAAATATCTGTGAAATCTAATGCAAGGCTCCTTCCATGGTACTCCCCCTCAGAAATCCATATGTTTCTCTTGCTTTGTTAGATCAAATGGACAAGATCTTCACAGTAGATTTAATGTTCCTGAAGAATCATGTGCAAGCCACTTAGACATCCTATCATGGAATATTTATTTTTCCAGTTTACAGATTTTAGAACTACTGCAAGCACCCACTTCTGGGTGAAAAACTACTGATTGGATATGTAAAGCTATAGAGTGTACAGGATGAATCTGTGTGAAAGGTACAGAGGGCTGAGCAACACCTGTGTTTTTGTGGAAGAAATATGAAACTATATAGTGAACAGTAGTGCCTCAGGGAACCAGGTACTTAGGAAGAAAAAACGTGTGGGGTTTTTTTCTCCCTCCTCACTAAAACTTTAAGTGGGAGTGAGCTCTTTCCATGAGTGCAAAAGTGGTTGGGTTTGATGGATTCCTATAGTGGTTGTTCCTAAAGCACTCTGGCACTGTCCTCAAGAACACCCTGCCTGCTCCAAAGGGCTTCCAGTGCTAGAAATCTCTTGGCAAACAGACCTGAATTATGTGACCTCTTTGCTGACTATGTGCCCCTCAGCTGCTGACAAATTCTAACTGCATGTATCCATATGGTAGTTGAAAGTTCACTGCATGTTTTTGGGTGGATGGCTTTATTCCACTTAGAAGGATTTGAGAGTGGAGGGAAAGAACTGGCCACAACCATGATACTTGCCAGAGTGGGTTACAAGAGTAAAAATAGCTCGTGACAAACACGAGGCAGGGGAGCCTGAACTCTGCTTAGAGTGACTGAGGGTCATGTAGGGTTTGGGTTTCACTAGGAAAAGGACTTCCTCATCTTTTCTGGAGAAGGCAGACCTGCAGTTCAGTACATCAAAGCACCTTTCCAGGTGACAGAAAAGTTGTGGAGAAAGGGTACAGTAGATAAACCATAATAAAAATTAACAAAAAGTGGATTTCTGGTAATTAAATAAATACGAGAAAAACACCAGAATTTGTCATTTTGTTTCTGTTGACTTCAGCTTTTGTCACGTATGGGTTGACTAGACAGGCAAGTTCCTTGCTATCTGGTTTGTATCTAAAAACTCCTAGTGAGCACTTCACACCCATTCAGATAACCCATTGTTAGTGTACTGTGCACACAGGACTTCAAACAAATGCTGTGTAGCACAACACATTCAGTAAAAAACCCTCAAACCCCATGCATCTGATCATCAGGATTTCATTATGAAAGTCAGCAAAGCCCCAGACGATTACTTGCTTGGCCTTTTGTGGACAGCACTATGTGCCCACATGCCACACAGCATACAGGCCGCAATTCCAAGGCTTCCCAAGAGCATTGAGCTGCCTGCACTTGGAGGGTGCAGAGGCTCAGCCCATGTGCTCTGTGTGCATCAGCTTTACCATGCATAAGCAAAGAGCCTGTGCTGCTTGTTGCTGTGGGTCCAGGTGTGTGAGTGGGCATTTTACTGGCCCTGCAGGTGCAAGAAGAGGACAGGCCAGGGGCGGTGGAGATGGGGAGCAGATGAAGCTACCGCTGCCCAGCCTGTGACACTGTGCTGGAGCCCTCACAGGTCTGGGGTTCAGAAACACCAAAGAAACATAAAGGAGAAAACAAAATCTGGGCACACAGTGTTACTGTAAATTTGGTCTCAAAAGAACCCTCGAAGTTTGAAGTTTGAGAAGGTAGGCTTTCTTTATTGCAGCACTGGATGCATGGGGGATCACTCCACCTAACATGCATACACTAAACCAAAAGTTCATCCTTTATATACCTTAAAGACGTTAATATTCACATGTTTTCCAAGGAGTCTCTGCCTCTCTGCCTATTTACATAATGCTGGTGTTGCAAAACTACAATACACATGTCCAGGGGTCTAGGTGGTCATCACGGGTCATTTGGGGAGTTAGCCCCTTACTCCTTTTTCCCTTTTATGGTCACGAGTCTTTTGAGGACAGTTTCTTCTCCTGGGATGTTTCCCAACTCTGTTGCCTGGCCAAGCTGTTCTTTCTTATCTGCCTTGTTTGAGCAATTCTGCAAGGATGTATCTACTCTCAAGGTTAGGGTATCTTCTCTGTACACTTTAATTGTTCAGGCCTTGTTAAATTCCAAGTATTTTGTTTGGTAAAAGAATTTCTCAGCATTTCCCCCGTTTGGGACTTCCAAAGTAAGATCTTTTGGGGAGTCTCACCTAGATTGCACTAATTCTGATAATATCAACTTCCAGGAATACACAATTGGATAGAACATTACCATATAATGGAATGCTTCTCTTAACACTAATTGTTACTTGCAGGCATCAGGTAGCAAGCATCAACAGGGCATCTAGTTGGGAATAAAAAAAAAAAAAAAAAAAAAGATGCTGGAGAAAACGAGGTGTTATTTCCAAACCCTGTGGAGTCATGGCAGACCACTGCCCTCGAACGCAGCCTCTGGGAAGTGGCGCAGAGAGAGCAGGTGAAGACCGGATTCAGCTCGGTTTGACAGTAAATACAGGCGTGTGTTAAGTCTGCAGCAAAACACAGCTGTTAAAAGCACGAAGCGGCACCTGCAGGGACGTCCAACTGTCGTCCGTCCGTCCGTCCGTGCCGCGGGGCGGGGCCGGTCCCGCCGGCGCGCTGGG